AGTCAAATATTGTTATGATTGAAAAAAAAATAATTAAATAATTTGGGAGACAATCAAACGTGGTTTTCTTGTTTTCTAAAGTCATAAAAACTATCTTTAACAGTCCCTCAGAGCTACCATTTCACTAGTTGTTTTCCTTTCTCAAATTTGATTCATTTCGTACAACTATTATGCAATTCTAGTTTATTCAATAATCATTTTCATATATGAACGACAAATTTCATAAACACCCACATGTCCTACCTGAGTTAGCATTAAATGTTGAAGGTGACTATTTTTCGTATTATTTATTATAAGGAAAAATGTGCAAAGCAAGCATCATACAGACAGGTGCACTGTACGAACACAAATTTTCATGCATTTAATAATTCTAGTTTTTAAAGTTTATGATAATGCATAATCACTTCTATTTGTTTTTATATTTTATTTTTTTTGGTATAATATATTTGAATGGAATGTTTCGCAACAGGGGATGGTGGTGGTGACTTTAACATCATGGTTACCACAGTTGCAGCCTCCATCTTGTAGCCCTGAGGAACTGGCATCTGGGAAGTGTGTTAGGGCAAGCAATTCTCAAATGGGTGTGTTGATTTTGGGACTATGCTGTTTAACCATAGGTTCTTCTGGGGTTAGACCATGCAGCATCCCATTTGGTGTTGACCAATTTGATCCAACGACTGAAGAAGGGAAGAAAGGGATCAACAGCTTCTTCAACTGGTACTACACCACATTCACCATGGTCCTTCTGGTCACTCAGACAGTGGTGGTCTACATCCAAGACTCTATCAGCTGGAAAATCGGGTTTGGGATACCTACTCTCTGCATGCTCTGCTCCATAATCATGTTCTTTGTGGGAACAAACCTTTATGTACGTGTGAAGCCTGAAGGAAGCGTTTTTTCTGGTGTTGCTCAAGTTCTAATGGCTGCTTATAGAAAGAGAAAACTCAGGTTTCCAATGAGTGAGGAGAAGCAAGAAGGGTTTTTCTATGATCCTCCACTTACTGGGACCACTGTTGTGTCAAAGCTGCCTTTAACCAAACAATTCAGGTCAGAAACGTTGCTGTCATTAAGACTAAAATCTTCATTTGAGTTCCATTAGCAAAACTTTTATACATGTGGTGGAGGAACTTCTCTTATGTTTTTAATACATGTATATATATATATATCATTGCCCAATGATTATAGTTGTTATGTGCCATGAATATCATGAAAGATGTCTACTAATTGCTTTCAAAACCTCAATTATTTTAACAAACTTCTACACGAAAAAGCAATTCGCTTTATAATATAATAATATCTATTAATACTTTACAGAAACTAATATCTATTTAAGAAAAACATTTTTTTTTTGTACAAAGACTAAATTAACAATACCGCACAGATTTAAAAGTAAATTTTATGATTTACCTTTTCTACTTTAATTAATCTGTAAACAAGCATTAAAATACTAATTAACATAGTGAACTTATGTTGATACTTGGATTTTGCTAGGGCCTTGAACAAAGCTGCTTTAATAATGGAAGGTGAGTTAAACACAGATGGGACCATAGTGAATAGATGGAGGCTGGTTAGCATCCAAAAAGTAGAAGAGGTGAAATGCTTAGTCAGAATTATCCCAATTTGGGCAGCAGGGATCCTTAGTCTCATTTCCATGGCACAACAAGGGACATTTACTGTGTCACAAGCAATGAAAATGAACAGACACCTGGGACCCAACTTCCAAGTCCCAGCTGGTTCAGTGACAGTCATATCATTAATCACCATAGCTTTGTGGCTCCCATTCTATGACAGATTCTTAGTGCCAAAGCTCAGAAAAATTACCAACCATGAAGGGGGCATCACTCTACTCCTAAGAATTGGAATTGGCATGGTTTTCTCTATTCTTTCCATGGTTGTGGCTGGCATGGTTGAAAAACTGAGAAGGGATTCAGCAAATTCAAATCCAACACCACTTGGAATTGCTCCCATGTCAGTCTTTTGGCTGGCTCCACACTTGATCCTTATGGGGCTCTGTGAGGCATTCAATATAATAGGACAAATTGAGTTCTTCAACAGACAATTTCCTGAACATATGAGAAGCATTGGCAATTCCTTGTTTTCCTGTTCTTTTGCTGTTGCTAACTATGTGAGCACCATAATAGTGAATGTGGTTCATCACAGTACAAGAAAATCTAGCCACCCAGATTGGTTGACAAATGATATAAATGCTGGGAGAATAGACTACTTTTACTATCTTATAGCAGTGTTAGCCACCTTCAACCTGTTCTTTTTTATATTTGTTGCTAGAAGATATCAGTACAAGGGAAGTGTGGACTTCGATGATGAAACTCACCAAGTGGAGCTTGGATCTCACAAACCCTAAGTTTTAAGAAAGATAATAAAGTTAATGTAGATATGCATCAATGTGTGTATGTATATAGGAAGACATCACACAAATAAATTGAAAGACTTTTATATATATATTCCTTTCAGAAGTTACGTTACAAAATAAAACTTAAATATGTTTTTCTCCTTAACATTTATATTTTCTTTTTCTCCTTATAATAAGAAAAGTATATTTGACTTTTCTTCTTGACAAAATGTGTTAGAATTTCTATTAACATGGATTATTACCGGAGTGCATATACTCATTGATTGTCATGTAACTCAAACTCCTTGTAAAAAACGTATAACACAAAATAAATCTATCCTTTTCTAATTACTCTACTCTTGCATCCGTGTTCAATATCTTATATTAAATGAAACTTATAAGTCTATTTTATGATATTGAATATCAATATCTACTTATTAAAATGCTATCAGATTCTATACTAATCAAATAAAAAAGTTCTTCAGAGACTATTATGATACTATTAAGATTCATTCATTAAAAATTTGTTTATTATACCATTACTTTTCTGTTAATTATCTAATAAATCAATGTGTGCCTAATAATTAATTTTATCATTTTTTTATAAGAGTTAAGTGTACTTGGACTTAATTTTATTATTTGAGGTTTCTTTTATCTTTATTTATAATATAATACTACAAAAATATATAATTTTTGCAGGGGTTATTTTTAGTGTTACCGGACAGTTTTAATCCCTGAAAAATTTGTTTCACGCAATTGCAAAAGACCTTTGGGAAAAGCAGTGTCGTTAAACATTACCGGCGGTTTTTTACGAAACTGTCGCAATTTCCAGGGGTTTTTGAAAAACCGTCGGATATAGTCAGGGTTTTTGTAGAAACAGTCGGAAATAGCCGGGGTTTTGCAGAAACCGCAAAAAATAGTTGGGGTTTCTTATAACTGCTCTTATTTTCAAGAGTTTCCTCCAAAACTGTCGAAAATGTAGTGATAACTCAAATTTTTATTTTTATTTATCAATATATCTTTTTCCCAAATCATTCCATCAAAGCAGCCACCCAAAGATACTTGAACTACTAGTTCTTCTTGATCACCAACTTCCACACAATAGAATTTACTTGGGATTACATTCTCCAGGGCCTTGAGGCTAATGCGAATTTGGTGTGTCCTTTCGTTTATAGCCTTTTTAGTTTTTTAGTTTTCTTTCTAATACTGAAATACAGTCCTCATTAGTATTATTTTCCTGAAATTTGGAACTTCTTTTAAATCTACATTCATTTAAATGATGAGATTGTTTGTCTATGTTTGTAAATGTTATTAGTGAAAACACGACTTAATTCATGTGCAGTTTGTAGTATATGTATTATGTGTAACTTAAAATGTTGCTGCCCTTGCCTCTTTACAGGTGTTGAGCATATCCCTAGCTGCACTTGGATATTTGATGTGGCTTCGAAAAAATAAGCCCAAGACCCTCATCCCTATTATTTATTTTAGTGCTGAGATTGTAGCAACAATGCCATCTATCACAAGGTCTTTCCCTGATTCATTACAGTTACTGTTATGATATGTAAATGTGTAATTTCATATTCATATTAAAAAAATTCTACTATTTTTTTCCTATGCAATACAAGTCTTTATATATTCATATTCATATTTATATGTAAATGTGTTGGTTGCTGTTAGTCCTATTCTGCCAATACAAAATCAATAACACTGCAAAGCTAATAACTTGAGTTATCTCTCCATAAATCATGCTCAAATTTTTATTATAGAATTTGAACATAATTTCTTACCTCTGCACCAAGCTTATTATAATATAAATACCATTTTCGGTCAACATGGCAACGAACAAGATAACACCATAAAATCCAAAACAAATGAAACTCATTCATCAGAAACAACCATATCAATATTTAGAAATAGCCATAATAAAACTAGAACTATATTTAAGAGAGACTAACAAGAAAAGTGATTCAAAAGATGAAATATACATGGAGACTAGCTCAGGGACTGATGAGGATGATCCTTCCCTTGTTTGGCAGCTTTAGGAAAGCACTTAAAGATACTAGCATATCAATACATACACAACTAAAAGGATGTACATGTGATATTTGCTTCCTCAAAACTTCATACATTGCATATCAATCCAGACATAACTAATTGTTCATACATGTCTAATTTTCTTCATCTTCATTACATTCATTGTTTGGCACGCTTCCTTAATCAGATACCTACAATATAACATAATAGTTAGTCGGTTATATATTTAAAAAAAAATCATACAAATAAATATAACAATTATTACCGATTATTGAAATGAGGCAAACTTTGAAGGTAATTAACCCTGATAAATTTGCAACATAATTGTTATCATTTCCTTCATTTTATTGACTTGTGATATCATGTCATTGACTTCTGATGTCAATGAAGATACCTGTAACAGATGAAATTATTTAAAAAGTAAGAAAAATTATACCTAACAAGTTAATCATAAAAGGAATAAACCAAGTAATTGATAAAATATTCATTAACCTGAGTTTGTAATTCATTATTAGAAGGGGCAACTGAAGATGATCCACTATGAGAACGAGCTTTGACTCTAAAGACTTTAGATGGGCAAGGACCCAAACGTAGACCGCGAACGCGTCCACAATTGATGGAAAAACGATTCCGAGAAGTGACCGAAGGCGCGACGCGGAATCCTCGAAGCTTCCTCCAGAGAGATGACGCAGCGGAATTGATAGGACACTCTAAATCGAGAGAGAAATCGGAGCAAAACTTATGTGAACGGTTGAAAACCCTAATCGCCAAGAGAGAACTTGAGTTCGAGTGCGAACTCACCGACACCGAGATCAGACTCAAGAAACTCTAGTTTGGTTCGATTAAACGGTGAAAACNTTTTTTTTTTGTACAAAGACTAAATTAACAATACCGCACAGATTTAAAAGTAAATTTTATGATTTACCTTTTCTACTTTAATTAATCTGTAAACAAGCATTAAAATACTAATTAACATAGTGAACTTATGTTGATACTTGGATTTTGCTAGGGCCTTGAACAAAGCTGCTTTAATAATGGAAGGTGAGTTAAACACAGATGGGACCATAGTGAATACATGGAGGCTGGTTAGCATCCAAAAAGTAGAAGAGGTGAAATGCTTAGTCAGAATTATCCCAATTTGGGCAGCAGGGATCCTTAGTCTCATTTCCATGGCACAACAAGGGACATTTACTGTGTCACAAGCAATGAAAATGAACAGACACCTGGGACCCAACTTCCAAGTCCCAGCTGGTTCAGTGACAGTCATATCATTAATCACCATAGCTTTGTGGCTCCCATTCTATGACAGATTCTTAGTGCCAAAGCTCAGAAAAATTACCAACCATGAAGGGGGCATCACTCTACTCCTAAGAATTGGAATTGGCATGGTTTTCTCTATTCTTTCCATGGTTGTGGCTGGCATGGTTGAAAAACTGAGAAGGGATTCAGCAAATTCAAATCCAACACCACTTGGAATTGCTCCCATGTCAGTCTTTTGGCTGGCTCCACACTTGATCCTTATGGGGCTCTGTGAGGCATTCAATATAATAGGACAAATTGAGTTCTTCAACAGACAATTTCCTGAACATATGAGAAGCATTGGCAATTCCTTGTTTTCCTGTTCTTTTGCTGTTGCTAACTATGTGAGCACCATAATAGTGAATGTGGTTCATCACAGTACAAGAAAATCTAGCCACCCAGATTGGTTGACAAATGATATAAATGCTGGGAGAATAGACTACTTTTACTATCTTATAGCAGTGTTAGCCACCTTCAACCTGTTCTTTTTTATATTTGTTGCTAGAAGATATCAGTACAAGGGAAGTGTGGACTTCGATGATGAAACTCACCAAGTGGAGCTTGGATCTCACAAACCCTAAGTTTTAAGAAAGATAATAAAGTTAATGTAGATATGCATCAATGTGTGTATGTATATAGGAAGACATCACACAAATAAATTGAAAGACTTTTATATATATATTCCTTTCAGAAGTTACGTTACAAAATAAAACTTAAATATGTTTTTCTCCTTAACATTTATATTTTCTTTTTCTCCTTATAATAAGAAAAGTATATTTGACTTTTCTTCTTGACAAAATGTGTTAGAATTTCTATTAACATGGATTATTACCGGAGTGCATATACTCATTGATTGTCATGTAACTCAAACTCCTTGTAAAAAACGTATAACACAAAATAAATCTATCCTTTTCTAATTACTCTACTCTTGCATCCGTGTTCAATATCTTATATTAAATGAAACTTATAAGTCTATTTTATGATATTGAATATCAATATCTACTTATTAAAATGCTATCAGATTCTATACTAATCAAATAAAAAAGTTCTTCAGAGACTATTATGATACTATTAAGATTCATTCATTAAAAATTTGTTTATTATACCATTACTTTTCTGTTAATTATCTAATAAATCAATGTGTGCCTAATAATTAATTTTATCATTTTTTTATAAGAGTTAAGTGTACTTGGACTTAATTTTATTATTTGAGGTTTCTTTTATCTTTATTTATAATATAATACTACAAAAATATATAATTTTTGCAGGGGTTATTTTTAGTGTTACCGGACAGTTTTAATCCCTGAAAAATTTGTTTCACGCAATTGCAAAAGACCTTTGGGAAAAGCAGTGTCGTTAAACATTACCGGCGGTTTTTTACGAAACTGTCGCAATTTCCAGGGGTTTTTGAAAAACCGTCGGATATAGTCAGGGTTTTTGTAGAAACAGTCGGAAATAGCCGGGGTTTTGCAGAAACCGCAAAAAATAGTTGGGGTTTCTTATAACTGCTCTTATTTTCAAGAGTTTCCTCCAAAACTGTCGAAAATGTAGTGATAACTCAAATTTTTATTTTTATTTATCAATATATCTTTTTCCCAAATCATTCCATCAAAGCAGCCACCCAAAGATACTTGAACTACTAGTTCTTCTTGATCACCAACTTCCACACAATAGAATTTACTTGGGATTACATTCTCCAGGGCCTTGAGGCTAATGCGAATTTGGTGTGTCCTTTCGTTTATAGCCTTTTTAGTTTTTTAGTTTTCTTTCTAATACTGAAATACAGTCCTCATTAGTATTATTTTCCTGAAATTTGGAACTTCTTTTAAATCTACATTCATTTAAATGATGAGATTGTTTGTCTATGTTTGTAAATGTTATTAGTGAAAACACGACTTAATTCATGTGCAGTTTGTAGTATATGTATTATGTGTAACTTAAAATGTTGCTGCCCTTGCCTCTTTACAGGTGTTGAGCATATCCCTAGCTGCACTTGGATATTTGATGTGGCTTCGAAAAAATAAGCCCAAGACCCTCATCCCTATTATTTATTTTAGTGCTGAGATTGTAGCAACAATGCCATCTATCACAAGGTCTTTCCCTGATTCATTACAGTTACTGTTATGATATGTAAATGTGTAATTTCATATTCATATTAAAAAAATTCTACTATTTTTTTCCTATGCAATACAAGTCTTTATATATTCATATTCATATTTATATGTAAATGTGTTGGTTGCTGTTAGTCCTATTCTGCCAATACAAAATCAATAACACTGCAAAGCTAATAACTTGAGTTATCTCTCCATAAATCATGCTCAAATTTTTATTATAGAATTTGAACATAATTTCTTACCTCTGCACCAAGCTTATTATAATATAAATACCATTTTCGGTCAACATGGCAACGAACAAGATAACACCATAAAATCCAAAACAAATGAAACTCATTCATCAGAAACAACCATATCAATATTTAGAAATAGCCATAATAAAACTAGAACTATATTTAAGAGAGACTAACAAGAAAAGTGATTCAAAAGATGAAATATACATGGAGACTAGCTCAGGGACTGATGAGGATGATCCTTCCCTTGTTTGGCAGCTTTAGGAAAGCACTTAAAGATACTAGCATATCAATACATACACAACTAAAAGGATGTACATGTGATATTTGCTTCCTCAAAACTTCATACATTGCATATCAATCCAGACATAACTAATTGTTCATACATGTCTAATTTTCTTCATCTTCATTACATTCATTGTTTGGCACGCTTCCTTAATCAGATACCTACAATATAACATAATAGTTAGTCGGTTATATATTTAAAAAAAAATCATACAAATAAATATAACAATTATTACCGATTATTGAAATGAGGCAAACTTTGAAGGTAATTAACCCTGATAAATTTGCAACATAATTGTTATCATTTCCTTCATTTTATTGACTTGTGATATCATGTCATTGACTTCTGATGTCAATGAAGATACCTGTAACAGATGAAATTATTTAAAAAGTAAGAAAAATTATACCTAACAAGTTAATCATAAAAGGAATAAACCAAGTAATTGATAAAATATTCATTAACCTGAGTTTGTAATTCATTATTAGAAGGGGCAACTGAAGATGATCCACTATGAGAACGAGCTTTGACTCTAAAGACTTTAGATGGGCAAGGACCCAAACGTAGACCGCGAACGCGTCCACAATTGATGGAAAAACGATTCCGAGAAGTGACCGAAGGCGCGACGCGGAATCCTCGAAGCTTCCTCCAGAGAGATGACGCAGCGGAATTGATAGGACACTCTAAATCGAGAGAGAAATCGGAGCAAAACTTATGTGAACGGTTGAAAACCCTAATCGCCAAGAGAGAACTTGAGTTCGAGTGCGAACTCACCGACACCGAGATCAGACTCAAGAAACTCTAGTTTGGTTCGATTAAACGGTGAAAACAAGTGATTAATTTGTGGAAATGGGTTAGATCAGAGAAAAGGAGGGTTTACTCGGTGGAAAATGAAAACAAATGGTGAAAATGAAGGAAATGATGAGAGAAGCTGGAAACCCTAGCGGATGATGTTGTCAGAGGATGAGCAAAGCTAAAGTAGAAGGAAGAAATATGAATCTGTGAGGAGAAATGTGACTTACAGTGAGGAGCTCGAGAGCGAGAATGAAAGATGTGGTTTCTGAGATGTGGAATTGTGAGAAATGAAGTGAGGCTCTCTGATATGAGAAGATGAAGTGGTCTTGAATGAGCGAGAGAGAAAAATGATGAGGCAATGAATGTTGACGCGTGCGCAAGGATGTGTCAGCGAAGGAATGGCTGACGCGTATGGAAGCAGCGTCGTGGAAGTGAGAGAAATAAGGTGGAGCACGGTAGAATTCAAGGAAAATGAGAATGGAGGCAGTGTGCAAGGAAGGTGGCTAGAGGGAGTCTTTGGACTCTCTAGCATGTGACTTTCAAGAGAGAATTATTTCTGAAGGTCAGAAATTCAAATTCTCATTAAGCTCAAAAAGTCTCAATACAAGAGAGGAGTTGAGTATTTATAGTAACCCATGCTCCTTAAGAGCTAAGCTATGGAAGGTAAAAATACAAAAGAAGGACTACGTCAAGCACGATTCCATCATACCCTCCCTCTTAAAAAAGATTTGTCCTCAAATCTGGGCAATCGCCTTATGAAGAAGCTCCACACAATCTTTGGGAGCATGGCCATCTTTGAGTGGCCTTATTCTTTTATATTCACTTTTTCTTCCTCCTGGATCAAACACAAATCTGTAATAAACATCAAATATATTTTCAATTAATATCAATCCGAGAAAGAATTTTTCTATAAAAACAAGGAAATAAGAACTTCTAATATTTTGTTTAGTAGTCTTTGTAAATTTTAGAAGTCCAAATTTACTTTTGTCTTGAGTTATTTCTTTCCTTAAAGATAAGAATAACTCAAGATATGAATTGTCATATTTTGAAAAGGTTTGCATGGAATATGAGATGACAATTTGTTTGAAAGAGAAGTTAAAAATTGAAAAATAATCAATTATTGAAAAAGAAGTAAAGATTTGGAAACCTTCCCTTTTAGATTCCATGATCTTTGAAAGAATAGGATTTGTCATCAGTAACAATTTCTCCTTTTCTTTCTTCTCTCTTTCTTGCCTTTCTCTCTTTTCTTCTTGTTTTCTCTCTTCTTCTATTCTTTTATCTTCTTCTCTTTCTTCCTTTTCTTCTTCTCTTCTTTTTCTCTCTTCTTCTCTTTTATTCCTCTCTTCTTCTCTCTTCTCTTTTCTCGTTTTCTTCTCTCTCTCTCTTCTCTTCTTCTTTCCTTTCTTCCTTTTCTTTTCTCTCAATCTCTCTTTCTCTTTTCTTATCCTTGATCTCTTTAAGTCTTGCCCTAAATTCTAATTCTCTACGAAGAAACCCATGATCATCTAAACTCTCAAGAAATAATTTTCCATCTTCAATGCAATCCCTAATTAGTTCTAGGTTTCTTTTAATACTTGAAGGCACAAACTTTCTTCTCATGCAAGCTTTTAAATCATGCCAATCACGTATGGAAGACTTTCTACCTTTCCTAACAAGATATTGTCTTTCATCCCACCACTCACTTGCATGCTCTTCTAACTTAGAGAGATATATGCTAAGGACATAATATTCACTCTCTCCATAAAAGCAAGGATTTATTTTATCAATTTCTTTTTCCCAAGCTAGGTATGTTAATGCACCTATGACTTTACCAAAGGATGGAAGCTTCCTAGCTTGTTTAAACATTTCATCAACTTTATCTAACCTAGAAGACCTATATGAACTATAATAAGACATCTGTGTTTTTAAAAGTTTTCTTAATCTAAAGGGTTCAAAACTTTCACTTAGACAAGTCCCAGGTAAGAGAGGTGAGCTAAAGAGCTGCTTAAGTACCAAGTCTTGCCTTGCCAAAAATGTCTTAGGCTACTAACTAATTACCCCTTAAACTAAAATCACCTTTAGAAACAAAGTACACAACTCAAACAATTAAACACTAAAAGACTAGACTCTTCGGACTCTAATGTGAAAAGGCTTAGAGTTTAATCCCTTTTAGCCTAATCACCCCTGAACTTGAACACAAAATCAAACAAACAAAACACTTAAGAAACCAACGGACTCTAATGACCCCTAAGAGATACACCAATCAAGTCTAACAAGACACATTCACCTGTCTAGCTATGC